TTGTAATTCTAGATAAGGACAAATGCTTGTTAAGAATAACTAATTGTCCCAGGCTTGGGTTGTAGATAGTAAAAATATGCTAAGGTCCTTCACTTGCTGTGGAGTTGTGTGAGTTGATGGGAGAATGTTGTAACAAATGATTTTTGTTCATGAATTCTGGGGAAATCAGCCAGCTGCCCACATCACCCTGTGTCTCTGTGTGGATACCTCTTAACTTGGGCAGCTGTTGTATGATACCTGCCTGCACACTGGGTTTTGATCACATAGATTTTGAAACTGCAAAGTCTTGTGTCTATACCCACTTTTCAAGGCTCTCCTTTGGCTGTGCATTCAAGTCCTCTCTGCTGCACAGCTGCTTGGGGTGTGCCTTCTGAGCAGGCCCTACTTGGCTGTCACTATAATTTTTTTTTTTTTAATATTAGTAACTATTAGTGAATTTCTAAATTTCTCTTTTTTCCAATGCAGAGACCTMCTGTGTTGGCATTACTCTTGGTACTTTTACCAGTTTTAGTCTTATTTTGTGTTTATTGTAATAGTTTGCCTTCATTGTTACTGTTGGGTTAGGAGTATTCTGTATAATCAGAAACCTGGATTTAGCAATGCTTCTTTGTTTTCTGGCCATTCTCCTCTCTGGATGGAGGGAGCACCGTCAGCTACTATTCATTTCAGAATTTCTTCTATTTATATCCTACTACAATAAAATTAGTGGCACTTTATTCATAAATATTCATGAGCCYATTAATTACTAGTTGTCTTCCTGTAGTTTAAATAAAAAAGTTATTTTTAATTTGTTTTTATGACTAGTGAGAAAGCTTTTGCCCTCTTGTGTTCTATTACCTATAAGAGAATGGAAAATGACTAAAATCCAGTCTAGATTATTTTAGAGTATCTTCAACAAATCTGGTTTGGTCTAMATTTAAATCTTCTAATATGGTATTCCCTACAAAGAACAAAGTGAAGAGTTTGAATTTTCCGTTTCCATTTTTAAAAAGTATTTACCAAAACAAATGGATAAAATCATTTAACAGTATATTTTATTTCTATAAATTTTACATTTTAAATTATAGTTATAATTTTAAGATTATTTTAAATTCTCCCCAGTTGTATTGCTCCATGTGTGTTAAGTTGAATATCTCATAAGCATTATCCTCATGGCACAGACTCAGGCAGACAGGCTAGAAAGATGCCCGAATCCACATGTCACTGCACAAGCATGATGTGGCTAAACAGCAGGCAAGTGATTTTTGCATTGTTAGCCCCAAACCATATGATTTGGTACACTTATGATTTTCTTTACATAGGATCCTATTAGAAAATTAATGTTTTCATTTCAGTAAATTTTTAGCACAT